ATATATAGTTGTGAAGGCGAACAAAAGTCAGGTTGATGTATTTTTGTAACATAAAATGTAGCTATTTTTTTATATGTTGATTACATATATATATTAGGCCAATTCTTACTTCTTATGTTTTTAAGATACAGTACCACCTGGAAATTTTCTTATTGGAAAAAGCGTGGTGTTCCATCCCCAAAACCAGTTCCTCTACTTGGCAATACATTGCAAGTGCTCAAAGTAAGTTTTCTTATATTTTCCTTTATAATGAATTCTATTCTTTTTATCCACTAGGCTTTCCACTCAGCTCTTTGTCACTTGTTTTTGTGTTTATCACTGTCCAAGTTTGTAAATTTTTTTCTCCAACAGAATGGCTTTCACCAACAGGTTGATGCATGGATGAAAGAGTTGGGACCAATATTTGGGTAAAAGATAGAATTATGATTTAAATATATTTTTGTCAAAATGTACTTTGTACAACAGTACTGTATACTGTTGTCATGTGTGTGCCCTAACCATGTATTATTATTTCCTTACCTACAGTTTATATGCTTTTGGGACTACGTTGATAGTTGGAGATGTTGATGTTTTACGTCAAATCCTTATCAAGGACTTTGACCACTTCAGAAATCATAGGGTAAGTTGTTTATACCACTAGATTTTAAGGTTTGTCCACACTGTGGCCCATGGGCATGATGATGTCATACTTACACCAACATGTACTTAGTGAAGACAGAGCCTAAGACCTTGAAATTATAAGCTTCCCTTCAGTTTATTCAGCCATTTATAAACAGAACAGAAATCAAACGACAAACGGGTGGTGCCAGGATTTGCCCGACGGGGGAGGCAATTACCCCGACCAGGGGGTGGGCTTACCCGATGAGAGCAAAGATAATATTAATATCTGTTTTTTTGAACATAAGTTTTTCTTTGGAGATCACTTTGCAATTCCGGTCTAGATGATTTGGGAATTTATTATCCTCTAATTATGCTGATTTTAGACACCACTATTTATTAGTCGTTGTCTCAATTTCGACACTTTCTAATTAAGGACCAAACCACAAAACCATTCACAATTTTCAGGTGTCAGAGGTGGTCTCGAATTGGAGGGTGAACTCTATTATCACTTGGTCATCTTGAAATTTAACCTTTATTTTAAAATTATATTTTTATAGCAATTAGGTGTTGAGGTTAAACCATTCAGTAAAGGAGTTGTAAGACTAACAGATGATCACTGGAAGAATGTCAGAAACATTCTGACACCTACATTTAGTGCAGGGAAACTGAAGAAGGTTTGTAGTATATACACATAATAATAATCATTATACAGAATACAGAAACATTATTGGTCTCGAAAAAAATAATTTTATTTTGTTGAAAAATAAATATATATACTTTTGATATACATCAAGGATCTAGCACAGAATAAGGTAAGAACCTTCTTTTTGTAGAAAAA